AAATATATATATTGTTACGAGGATCGAATTATTTTTACTGAATCTGTCACGCAATCCCAGACTTTTCTAGAATTATCTATAATCTGTAATATTCCAGAAACTTCTTTCATGTGACTCAGCAGTTTCCAAAAATAGTACAACTTGTAATACGCTATAAATAGTAATAGAACATTCTAGATAACTAAAGTAAATGTATAAAAGCTGGCTTGTGAGAAGTACAAAAGAGATTTGCCCGAGGGCTTACCCTCGTGGCTTGCTGACTGAACTTTTGGAAGCTATGATATGACGAGGCTATGACCTTTTGACCTTGCGATATCCGGAGAGAAGAAAGAGATGAAAAAGACGATAGTCGAGAGAGGAAGAAGATAGAGAATACAGAGTTTACTATGGAGTCCTCCGGAAGAGTTTGTGTACAAGGAAAGAATGCAATAAATCAAGAAAGCCAAGCGCTGTGGTCCTCAGTGGGCGGATGTTGGAATTGGAAGTTGATCAAGACGACGAACACTTACACGGCATGAAGGATTGTAAGCCTGCTTTATAAACTGCGTAACTTAATCTTTAACCTAAGTAAATTAGAAGGTGTATAACTGATTAAATAATAGTTGAAATGGATAACTGCTTGTTGTTACATTTTTGATACGTGCCATATATCGTACTCGGGAGTCTATTTTCATATATGCTTTGTTAGCGGACATTTGTTGGTCATTCGTGCACGTAACAATTGTCGTTTGCTCGAAATACTTTAGTTTTATGTGCATCCTGGAAGTAAAGACTTATTTGACTCTCGATTCACATGACATACGTACTCATAAGAGTATATGTCGATCAAATACTGAGACTTGTTGAGGAGACAAAGCAGCGTCTGAACTGTTTAGTAAACAAAGATACAACTTGGCAAAGTAACCCTGTTACATTAGTACTTTGTTGTACAAATGACTCCAAAACATACCAAGTGCAAGTTACAAGTTATTCGAAAAGTTATCGAGAGAATCCTTCGAAGAAGCAAATCTCTCACCTGATCCTTTCTCGAATAGAGACAGGAATTGGACTTATGAGAATTAGAATTGACCCTCGACCGTTTATGAATTTGAATAAGAACTTCTAATAAAAGGGATTATTGTCAAGCCGGTCTTTTCAGAATGTAACTGAAATCTTGTAGATATTTGCTCGATCTCGTGGCTATTAATCATACCTCGAAATTTTCGAAAATTTTTGTCACACATGACAGCTTATATCAATACCATAACTTCCACTTCATCTCTATCAAAAAATAATCGTTTGCAGGACGAAGTAATATAATGGGGAAGAATATCGAATAAGAGTACTGAGGGCCAAAGTGGTTGTGTCAATGTATCACACGTGGTGCATAAGGCAGCACGGCAAGTTTGGCTGAGTGTGATAAGAAAACTATCAAAGTGCCTTTCCTCGTTCCAGTATAAACTAAGTAAATCGATAGTTCGCACCTGTCGCACGCTCGAGAATAAATGATTTATTTGCTCACGTCACGTTGGTTGCATTGCCGGCAACTTGATTTTGTTATAATTAGATTTCTACCCATCACTTTTCAACATCTTGCGTTTAAGTGTCACAGCATTCGTTCTTCACTTCCAAAAATATAAACTGAAAGAAAATAGATTGACTAAGTATTATTCATGACAACTCCACAAATTTTCTTTGGGATTGACAGGGCAACATTTCTCATCATCATCCCCGATGCACTTTCTAAATAATAATAAGCGGTACTATAAAATCGTCAAGGCAAAAGCGATAGAAAAAAATAAGCTGCAAGATCTATGCGATAAAATATCACAATTGCAAAGTGCATTACGCAGTGGCCTTTTCCCATCTAAGTTTGTTTTGTGCTGTCTTTAGAAGTACCAGGATGTTGTTCATCGCAGATGACGACGGGCTAAAGCTCGAAACGTCAGCTTTTAAACTCCTTACGGTGGCCAATTTACATTTCAGTTGATAAAACCAAATAAACTTGTTACCCCCACCGACACAGCACTACAGTTTCTTCAGAAATTTACCCCCTTTAAGCGTAAATTAGTCGTTGTGTTATGCCGCTAGCATTTTTCCTTTAATTTCCTAGTACCAGATC